TAAAGGTGCCACAGGACCCTATGTTGCTTTTTACAGATTCAGACTAACATGGCTACCCCTCTGATACTTAAGTATTAACTATGTTCAAAGTAAAATACACTACTGGCACACTATACAATTTCATGCTGTTTCAACTGCATAATTATTGCTTCTCAATTCAATGAAAATGTATTCTTTAAGTCATGCTATCATATTATACAAATGCAAAGCCAAGATATTTTTCTTTGAAACACCTACCTTCACCATCACAGTTTGATCAGAGACACCACTCATCATCTCATTGATAGACTTAAATAGCTGAAGCAAGGATTCCATGAAGTCTGCTTCTCCTTTGTTTTCATAAAGTCTGAGAAACAAATAATTGCTTGTGTAATATAAGCATAAACCACAAGGGAAAAAAACCCCCGGAAATATTGTATAAAGCAATGGAAATTGTTCCCAAAGCAGTCATTTTTTGTTCAAATGACAACTGACAATGCCATGTATTACTCACGACATTTAAAATAAAAGGGGTTTTTAAATTCCACAACTTTTATCAATCAAGCTGGAGTGTTTTTCCACAGAATGGTTAACCAAAAGGAAATTCACTGAAGTCACAGACCTAAAATGGATTATTACTAATTTAAAGCTTCCCCCGGTAAAACATCAAATAGGTGGAGATTTAACACTGAATCCTAAGTCACTGAGACACTATCAACCCATCTCATTATCACCAACCTCCACATAGCTGCAAAATAATGCGCTAGATTCACTCCTTCACTCAGCACAGGAGTAAGCAAGGAGGTGGGAAGAGCATGCCAGGAAGCCAGTTCCAGCTCCCTGATTCTCAGGACCACAGCCAGCGTAACTTACAAGTGGTGCTAGTCATCTTTAAATTCTGCCGCTGTCGTAAGGTTCTTAATAAACCCTATGCAAGGAGAATTACTGTGGCAACCCCCTTTCCACCACCAGCAAACCTGCTGCGTGGGAAGAGGGGAGTTTGTATTAATTGACATGGAATATATCGGCTAAGGGTGTTAACATAACTCAGTTACTGTCTAAAACTCAACAGTGTTAAACAAGATTTGCTGTACACACAATTTAGTCTTCTTAGTATTATGGCAAACACACCATGGAACAGCCTTTTTATTGAAGATAAAGATAAAGAAAAACAGTTACAATATTTGACACATAAAGTATTAAATAAGGCATTTATTTTAACAACATTCCTGGTTCCTTTTCTTTTTAACTGGAGAGAGTTTTTAGAACTCTTTTTAGAACTCATTGTCAACAGTCTTTTAGATGGTATTAAAGATGGTAGTAATTGTTTTTTGGAGGAAAAAGAAGCTAGTTGAGATGGGCTGAAGCTGTTGTGCTGCTGATAAAGTTTGATTTCATTTTATTTTAGGTGGTGTTTGGGATTCAGCAGGAGTTGACAGATGTTATTTGGGTCTCTTTTTTTTTTTTTGGCCCAGTTTGGTCCGTGAACAAATTTCCTGTAGAACTTAAAACATATGGTTTGTTCTGTGAGAATATCCATATCTCACATTTAGCAAGGATGCAGGCAATAGACTTCTGAGAGCTCTTCCCATTTAACGAGCTTCAATTAAAGAAAGTATGACTAGACAGGTTTAATATATGCCAGAGAGGGAAACGATAGTTAAGGGTGCATGGTATATAGAAGACAGAAGGGCAGAAGGCCACAGAACCATGACATCCTTGTCAAGTCTAAATTGTGGTATTTATAAAAATGGGTGTGGGAAGCACCAGAAATGTTTCCCATGCACTATATATTCAGTTTTTGATTGGCTAGGAGCCTATTTGAGACATTTAGTCTCTGACCTCTTTCTCCGTCTCGCTACATTCTATTTACATCAAGTGCTGACGTGCCCCTTTGTTGTATGTCATCACGACCTGTCACAGTAGCTATCATAAGAACGGCCATACTGGTTCAGATCAAAGGTCCATCTAGCCCAGTATCCTGTCTTCCGTCAATGGCCAATGCCAGGTGCTCCAGAGGGAATGAACAGAACATCTAATCATCAAGTGACCCATCCCCTGTCGCCCATTCCCAGCTTCTGGTAAACAGAGGCTAGGGACACCATGCCTGCCCATCCTGGTTAATAGCCATTGATGGACCTATCCTCTATGAACTTATCTAGTTTTTTTTTTTAACCCTGTTATAGTCTTGACCTTAACAACATTCTCTGGCAAAGGTTGACTGTGCGTTGTGTGAAGAAATACTTCCTTTTGTTTGTTTTAAACCTGTTGACTATTAATATTTGTGCACTTCCCTTTTATTATCCTCTTACTTTACCCATTGATTAAACTGAATCAGAAGAGAGACTTCTAACTTCAGCACACGGTTCTGCTTTTCTAGGGCAATGGGAGCATTTTACACATTTAAACCTTAGTCTGATTTCTTCAAACTTGAAAACATCACATAAGATATATTTAAAACTCACTATGGAGAATCTATATTACAAATTCCAAATGAGGAACAGGAATTTATTTTTTTAAAAGTGGTGCATGAAAAAGAATAGGATGGTCTTGCTACTTTACACTAAAAATTAATGTCTATTATTTCTAGCACAAAATGCATATTCCTTGGGAGCCATAAATACAAAAAAAAAAAGCTATTAAAGTAGTACACTAGGGAAAATGAAAAAAAAAAGGAATTAAACTGTACTGTTTTGCTATGAGAACTTTGCTTCCTAACTAGAATTGCAGGCCACGCAGGACAGAATATTAAAATTATATTTTAGGAATAAACTAAGACATTGCAATGTTCCCCCAATAAAAGGAACTGTAAAGCTTGACAGTCAGTATCCATCAAGACATTTTATAGATACATGGAGCTAGTTAAGACAAGAAAAAAAAATCATTGTGCTTTAGTAAGTCCTGAGCACCTGCAACTCCCAATGACTTCAGCTGGATCAGGGTTTATATAAGATTATAGCAAGCTTGGCATACGGAGGGCATGTGTGTGTGTTTGTTATACAGTACCAAACACAGTCAGCATGTTCAATAATAAATTATTTATTTAAAAAGTTATTTGTAATAACAACGCCTTTTTAAAAAGCTTTTTCTTTAGAACAGAGACTACTTGCTTGTTAAGTATTTCACACTAAAACACTAGCACTGAGACCATTTCTTTTAAGGACAGCCCCTTATGCCATAGTTTTAATAGTTCTAAATAATCACCACATATTAGCCAGGGTTTAAGCTTTACAACAGAGAACCAATTGTTGTATCATTCCAATTTAGTAGCTTCTCTGATTAAACCCTTATCATTCAGACTTGTGATTTTTCCCAGTGCTAATGCATTTTGAATTAGTGCTTAGCACCAGGAAATCCAACGGCAAACACCAAGGGATCATTTTTTTCTGTAAATCTCATCTGCAGTGAGAGATAATTATTTTTTTTCTTGTAAAATGATTTGTAAGACCAGAAACAGAATAAGTGACAGTCAGTACCTTATAAATCTCACAGCAAGAATATTATCGAAAGAAATTACATTGCCTAATTTATAAAAAAAAACTTAGTGACGTTGTTAACTTCAGAACTCTACATAAATCCCTTGTAATAACCTTGTTACATCCTATAAGAAATATCAAAAGGGTTACATTAAAGGTTAAGACAAACACATAATAAACTTGCTTATTTATAGGTTTGTATATTTGGTGTATGCAATTCCATGATAACTTTTAATTTGCTGGAAAATGACTGTACTTAGCTTTATTGGTGAATATTGACTTCAGCCATGGCAACAAAGTTACCTATTCAAGTCACAGAAAATTAAACAAACTGGAAAACAGCCTGCTAGAAAGGCTGAAACTCTCTCCTCCCATATTAAAGTCACAGAAGTTTTGGTAAAGAAATCTCCTCAAGGATTTTCTCATGAAGAAGCTCCACATCATTCCGCTGGAGGAAGAGAGGGAGAATGGTTTGCTACCCCCTGCAGAAAAACCCAGCCCCAAACCTCACAGGTACCCTCAGTATCTGCAGGAGGCCATGGTCATCCACAGTGGCTCCCTCCTACTCCTTTGGCCATGGGAGCTTATGGGAACCTCTTGGATAAGGGGGTCTCTGTGAAAATGCTAACGTTTTGTCATAAGTTGCATTAGATTTTAGGGGGGACATTTTGCATCCTCTCTTCCCTCCCTCCATGCAGGACTTGGAATGAGCATAAAGCCATCTGCAGGGTCCCGGGGAATGGGACTGCCCTACAGAGGACCCAGAGTTGCATGCAGATCTTTATGATATTTTAATCATGATTTAAAATCAACAAACAGGAAACCTTGATTGAAATTAAGAATTTTAACCGTGTGGTTTATTTGTACTTTTAAGTTATTTTCCTAAATAAAGGTTCATTCTCATTGGTTCATATAATCTGATACAACTTTTTGCTAGCCATGAGGATACACTATATCAACACATACACATTTAAGTAATTATAGAGTTTTAAGTATGTTTATTCAGGTTCTTAATTTTTACATTTTATTGTGTTAGAAATGGTGAATGATGCATTTTTTGTTGACTAGATTAACTTTTTAATCATGATTTACTCCTCAAGCTACATTTGGTTAGAAATTGGAATTCAATTAAAATGCACAGAAACAGCCTTTTAAATTTGTTTTTGATTAGTTAAATAAAACTACCTTAAATGTGCTAGATGCACAAGAAGAAAAGTTTATCAAAGTTCGTTTTTAATACAAAACAAGTTAACATTTTAAACAAATCAAATATTATCTGCTAGGGAATTGACTTGATTGCTTCTGGTCACCATGTCCTTCAAGATTTTAGAAAAAGTAGATCTCATCTCCTCACATCTTATTTTTATTCATAGATTGAAAGAGGAAATCAAGCTTTTCTGCTTTTTCCAACTCCCAATGAATCAATCAATTTCTCAACTTTGAATGAACTAGTCATTGAACTGAAATGAAAAAAATTCTCTCTGCATCTGGAGAAAAAGCCAGTGCTATCAGAGTGGCATGTCAACAAACTCTGGTTCCAGGTGCTTAGCCGGTGACTTCCCCCAGTTCATTGGTTTGACTTTCTTTAAAACTTCAGCAGTAAACATACTACTTGAATATTATTGTTTTTTATTTTATTTAAATGATTTTAAAAGATTATAGTAAGTTGAGGCCTTAACAAAGGTTACCATAATTTCAAATAGGTTTTTTTAAAAGACAAGGTATTTATTTTAATTTTTTTTAAATAATTTTTTATAAATTCATTGATTTTAATCAACCCTCAATGATGTGGCCCAGAGAAAAGTTTCCTTCTGCCGCCCTGCAAAAGGTTGAATATCTTCCAACCAGGTGAAAAAGTTACAGTAATCTGAGGTGAGGAACTAGCAAAGTCAGTCCCGGACCAGTGATGGTTATTGAGCTGCATCCCACTAGTAGCATTAATATTTGGATAATTATTATCTTGATGCTATTGCCAATAAGAGTTTCACAGATTTCCAATGGCATGCACAGTATTCATTTTGAGCTATTGGATCACAAAACCATGCCACTATTATATATCACTGTGCTACCTGGGGTGATTGTTAGTTTTCACTTTTCTCTACCCTCTGTTTGTACAGGTTGATTCAAAACTAAAGAATCCTACCCATGAGAATGAAAGAATTTAAATATGAATACATTTAAGACACTCAAAACATTTCTAAAATAGTGTTCCTGGTAACATGTGCAGAATTCATACTAATGTAGTATGGTTTAAAATGTTGACTGGAATTGTTTGGGATGACCAGCATAACTCATTAGTTTGCCACTTGTAAGTAACACAGCCGTTCTAAACCCATGCTAATAAAGTTGTTACACCTCACTACAACATCAAATACTCTAATTACAGCAAGAGTAACTGACACAGTTAAGGCTGCCTTCCCATGCTAACCTTCTGTTTTCAGACCCTTACAACATTCAGAAAGCTATGAGCAACAATGGAAGCGCTTATGTGCCCTTTCTAAACTGAGGTATCACTCCCACTGTGAGGTCCAGGCTTAAGTATACCCACATATAGTCACTGTTTACGTTTGCAAGGCAGCTGAGAGAAGGATGCTGAACTAATCTCAGGTGTAGTTAGGGTTTGGTAGCTGGGAAGGGATTAAGGGGACAAGGGACAAACTATAAAACTAGTAGCAGTGTGGCCATAAAATAAACGGTAGCAATGTGTCCATAAAGCCATCAAACCTCACAAGGTCTTAGCACCCTCAATCTTATTCCTTCTGTCTAATGCCTAAGTTACATTTTCTTATACTTTGGGGATAAGCCAAATTTGTGCAGAGTAAACAAGTGCTTTATGAAGAAATAAATAATATTCTATTTACTGCATAGTACTTCTTACCTTTAAACAGCCAGTGCCCTTATGAAAAATGCTTTGCTTCATACCAGTCTACTAGTAGGCACAACATTTACAGTAAATACAAAAAGAGGCAGAACTCATCACAAACTTCTCTAATGTCAATTGTAATTTTTAAATAAAAAGAGAAAAATCATATTTAAGAAAGGAAAAAATATGAACCCCAAGGCTGTTTTTTTTTAATTGTTAATACTTACTGATTGAACAATATTCTGGACCGTACTATAAATTTGAAGATGTATTCCAGAGCTTTCATGGCTTTAAAAAGTTGATCAGTTACGCCAGGTTTCTCAGCATTATCCACGTAATTTCTTAAAACTTTAGTCAGCTTTCTATTAAAAAATAATACAGGTTACTTGTACTTTTTCTAATTAAGAATTTTGCTTCCTGAAGAATTTAACAATATTAGCCACAGCTAGTGCAGATAACATGAAAGCATTTTATTATGTGAGAGTAAGGACTCTTCATTCAATTCTTGTCCTTACCAGTGACTAGCTGTGACTCTGGGGAATTCCCTTAACCTCTCTGTTGCACACTTTACCTACCTACAAAATGAGCACAGCATCACGTATTTCTTAGGAGAATTAGCAGGCTTAATATTTACAAAGTCCTTTGAATCTTGAGATGTTCAGGTGAAAGGCGCTATGCAAGTGCAAAGAATTATCATAAATATTTGTGAGTAGATTTCTAAATTTAATTATACTATCTAAATCAATAGCCCCTGCAGGGTTGTATCTAGTATCCTTGCATATGGCTTTACTTTGGAGCAGTGACAAAATAGATCCTGTAAAACTTGCCTTTTCAAAATTATAGACAGTAGCAGTTGACATTAAAAAATGACTTTGTCTCCAACTTTGGGATTTTTAAAATTTTGTTTCTACGGACTAACAAAATTACCACTTCTATAGCCTCGCTTTTCCTGACTGGAAATCACTTTTTAAACTGGAATATAGACAACTCCCAGTTTTAAAATTACCATCTTTAGATTTATTTTAAACATACAGTAAGTGATATTTTTAAAACACATATAACCTACTGAAGCTAATGAAGACCTAATTTTGTCTTATTATCACTTAAGTGAACACACTTCACGCATTTTCTTCCCACATAGATCATAAAGGTAAGTTGGCTGCCAAACTCCATTCTGAGGAAGAGAAAGTTGCCAAGCAAAACTATCGATTACTGTTTTTGTATCCAACAAGAACAGTCTGAAGTAGCAAATAGCAAAAGAAAGTTGAGAGGTTTTGTTTTTGCTTAAAGATGACAATGGTGTACACATAATAGAAGATAAGCAGAACACCAATTTTACATTGTAAGCAAGATGGATTTTAATTTTTTAATATTTATTATTCCTTGCACAAGTATAATTGGCAGTTGTCATGTTTTATTTATGATACCTTTCTCCATAAACATGTCTGAAATAGTTCAAATCACCATCTCATTAAAAGGAGGAACTCTGGGCTTCATGCCTCAGGATTGACAGCACTGTTACTATTAATTCAGATTTGAAAAAGGAAAGCAGGAATATCTCTTACTCAAAAACAAAAAAAAACATGTTTCTTCGTGTTTATAGGCAAACACCTATTTAAATTATGCAAAAGGAAACGTGAATATCATCTGGAGATATTCTGTACAACAATTTTTTCATTAGAAAAATATTTTTAAAAACTTACGTGTAGGCTAAAGTAGCACTGAAATGTTTCTTAATGTAGGTTTCCAAGACAGGATTAAAATGCTGAAATTTTCTGTCAGCAATCAGTCCAATGATAAATACCTGTTAAATTAGTATAATTATTCCATTATCCACAAAATCTTTGAATTTCTATATTCTCAGGAGCTAACCAATTGAATCATTTTAAACGAGCCACACTAGTAACATACAGGACACAGTCACAGACTGACCTTAGTTAAAAACAACAATCCTACTACAGTAACTCCTCACTTAACATTGTAGTTATGTTCCTGAAAAATGCGACTTCAAGCGAAACGATGTTAAGCGAATCCAATTTCCCCATAAGAATTCATGTTAATTGGGGGGGGAGGGAGAGTTAGGTTTGAGGGAAATTTTTTTCACCAGAAAAAAGACTATATTATATATATGTATACACAGTATAAGTTTTAAACAAACAATTTAATACTGTACACAGCAATGAGGTTGTGAAGCTTGGTTGAGGTGGTGGAGTCAGAGGGTGGGATATTTCCCAGGGAATGCTTTACTGCTAAATGATGAACTAGTATTCGGCTGAGCCCTCAAGGGTTAACACATTGTTGTTAATGTAGTCTCACACTCTACAAGGCAGCACGAATGGAGGGAAAGGAGACAGCATGGCAGACAGAGACACACACCCAGTGTGTGTGTGTGTGTGTGTGTGTGTGTGTGTGTGTGTGTGTGTGTGAGAGAGAGAGAGAGAGAGAGAGAGATATGT